GTGACAGCAACGGGCTGATCTTACACAAAAGCAGACCTTCAGATCTTTCTCCCAAGCCTCCGGGGAGCTTGGAGCTGCCAACTTCCCTGCTAGCTGCTCAGCACTTAACTGATGCATCACCAAGGCACCTTTCCCATTTTTCACAGAGAGGTGTGAGGGGCTTCAATCAGGTAATGGAAAACGGAAATTTTAAAACATGGGGCTTTTCAACCAACATTTGAAGCCCTCCTCACACATATATGGATGTGTATATAGATGAATACAGATATATGTGTAGATATATAGACAGACAGAGATATACAGGTACACATATAGGTATCACCTATGAGTGGCGTTAAAGACCAGGTCCTACTTGTCCTTTTCCCACAGCAACACTGAGTGTCACGGAAGGCGGGGCTCAGTGGCTATTTATTCTGAGTCAGTGGAGACATACGGCGCACATCACAGGACATCAGCACAAAAGGGTCCCTCTAGGCCTCTAAGCTCGGAAACCCAGCTCCCTCAGTCTGAACCTGGCCCCCAACTCGTTCCTTGCTCACTGTGGCTTCCTTTCTTTCCCCTGCACTCCAGGAACCGATGAAGCCACCATCATCGAGATCTTAGCCAGCAGGACTTCGGAACAGCGGCAACAAATCAAGCACAAGTACAAGGCCACGTACAGCAAGGTGACTCCCCGGTCCCAGGCCCCCAGGCACACAGGCGTGGCCTCTCTTATCTCCGGGCAGGGGGAGTGTCCCTAAAACCTGACTGGCGTCATTAAGGAACAAACATGACCACTTAAAACTTTCACTGAATTCTCCCGAAAAGCTGAGCCTGCTGGGCTAATGTAATAGCCGGTAAAATCAATAGGCTTTAAGTCACTTAAAAAAATCAACTGCAATATTCCTGTCCAACCCTTGACTCACTTTTTGCCACTCAGTCTGGACTAACTGCACAGACCGGTCTACAGCTGACCTGCTGCTGGTGCGTGGCCTCTGGCTCATGGTGACCTTGTAGCAGCAGAGTAAATAGCTGCCCCACATGGTTGCCGAGACCGTCAATCTTTACAGGATCGGACAGTCTCATCTTTTCCCTTCCCAGCGGCTGGTGAGTTCAAACCACTGGCCTTTCACTTAGCAGCCCAGTGCTTAACCACCACCGGAGCTCCTAATTTACAGACAGGCCAGTGATCGGAAAACCAATGTTCCATAGGTGACTCTGAAAACCTAGGGGGATCCCTCGCTTATTCAGCTGTCTTCGCCAATGAGAAATTCTCGACAAGTAACCGTCCGAGAACATGGAAACAAGGAAAACCATCCCACGCATCCAAACCCTCCTCTCCTTCTTGCTTCCTTCCCTTCTCATCTGTTTGTTTCTTTCCATTCTGGCTTGATTTCGTTTGTTTGCCTCCTTTGGGCTCTTCTGTGCAGAAATCTCATATGCGCTGTTGTGGTGGATGTGAAGGTGCTGTTGTGTTGGTTCCAGCTCATAATGGCCCCCGATGAGCGAGAACAAAACTCCTCCCAGTCCTGCACCGAGCGCCCTGGCAATGGTTGAGCGCGTTGTGGCAGCCGCTGTGAGACTCCATCTCTCTTGAGGGGCTTCCTCTTCTTTGATGACCCCCTGCTTTGCCATACAGGAAGCCCTTCTTCAGGGACGCCCTTGAGAACACACCCCAAGCTCATGAGCCAAAGTCTCACCATCCTGGCTCCTGAGGAGCATGCTGTCTTTACTTCTTCCAAGACAGATTGTTTGTTCTTCTGGCAGTCCCTGGTACTTTCAGTATTCTCCGCCAACCCCATTCTTAGGTCCTTATTCATATAAAAGGAATACAATGTAACCTTTACAAAATAGCATGGGGATTCTCATTTTGCAAAATGAAGACCAGCGACCATGTTGTGCTCTCACCCTTTCATTTGCACATCCTACCCCTCCATGAAGAAGCGGAGAAAGCAAGCTGGCTGTGAGGGCCCCGTGACTGAGCAGTGGGCAAGGAAGAACCCGCGTAGGCTGGGCTCGGCTGGGTCTCCATCACCGGGACGGCCAAACAGACAGCCTAGAACGGCAAACTCACAAAACCCGGAGACGTTAGAGATGCGCAGCCAGCACCAAGTCCCTGTGTCTGAGGGCAGGCCCTGAGCTCCGCAGCCAGCCCCGTGCTGGGTGGCACAGCTCGCCGGCAGAACAGCCAGGGCAAGAGGGAGTGTAGGTACACCCAGCCCCCTTCCCCGTCCACGCAGAGCCCAAGCACAATGTGCGCTGGAACTGACTGGAAAGCAGTGGGTTGTGGGGATTCCCTCTCGAAAGTATCCCAGATTGGATGGTAAAGGTCACCCCGGAGATAACAGACCTGCTTTCCAGCCCTTCCTAGCTGAGGGCTGGGGGGATGTCCACCCCTTCCTGGGGTGCAGTCAGTGGGGAGCTTGCCGCGGCTCTGGTCTGCTTCCCTAGGCTGTCTTGAGGGCCTGGTAAGGAAGCAGCGTTTTGCAGACAGACAGGTCCATCACTGTCCTCAAGAGCAGGTCCCTCGTTCTTGTGTGGCTCCTGCGGCGATCTCTCCCTGTGTGTCCGGGCAAGGTGCCACGTGGACCCTTGAGACCGCGCCGTGGGGGAAAGCAGACAGCTCTCCCTGTCCTCGGAAGCTGTCCCATTCAGTCTCTTGCTTGTCTCCTGTGTCCCTACAGGAGTTGGAGGAAGTGCTCAAGAGCGAGCTGAGCGGGAACTTTGAGAAGGCGGCCTTGGCCCTTCTGGACCGGCCCAGTGAGTTCGCCGCCCGGCAGCTGCAGAAGGCCATGAAGGGGCTGGGCACGGACGAGGCAGTGCTCATTGAGATCCTGTGCACGTGCTCCAATAAGGTGGGTCCCAGAGCAGCAGCCACACTCCGGCCAGAGAGCTGTGCCCGGGAAGCTCCACCTCGCACACCCCCCCACCGCCACCCTGGGTTCTACCCATGGGGCGAGCAAGGATCTGGGCAAAAACAAGCCTGGGACTCTCAGGGGGTTGCCTCTCACAGTCTCCCAGAGGTCGTCCTTTCAGGAAGGGCTGGTCCAACCGCACCTTGTCTTTCTGAATAGGGCACTGGCTTTATTCAGGAGGCAGCTCCACCCCACCCTCCCAGCCTGACTTTGCAGGTCTTCCAGCAAGAACGGCGCCCCTGGCTATGCAAACACACCTGTGTAGTTGGTTGATACATGACCGCCCTTGAGGGCAAACCACCAACAAAACGGTGATGGCCTCAGTCCTGGTCCCTCTGCTCGAGGGGATGGGAAGCACACATGTTACAGTCCCGAGGGGACCATGCTTCTCTTAGGTTTCTGATGCCAAGAAGACCAAGGGACTTGTCAAGCATGAAGAGGGGCCGCCGCAGGTCATCAATAGGAGACCCCGCTCCTCCACAGCCTTCCATCATGCAGGCCCTGTGAGGAAAATGCCGGAAATCCCTGAGATTCTCGAAGTGCCCAGTAAGAAGCAGACAGACGCTGGAATTGGAAACCCGCGAAACAGGGCTGGCTGCTAACACGGCTCGTGAAGCCTCCCTGAGGGGGGCATTCTGCTCAGCTCAGCCTGGGCCATTTGCTTCAGTCTCCTGAGGGGACAGGTCACCCAGTGACCGCCGCCAAGCCCTTTCCCAAGCCCCTGGGGGCTTCTTCTCTTCCCACAGAGCAGTGAGGACAGCCTCTATCTCACGGAGGCTCAGGCTGGGGCTCTGCCTCAGCTGTGGGTGACCACGAGCACAGCCCTGGGTCAGTGTCATCCAGCAGATGCTCCCCATTCCTTGCTCACTGCTCCTGCTCCGGGAGGCCTCCCAGGACCAGCAGGTGCTTGGCCTTTCGCCGGAAGTTTCAGTCCACCAGAGGTGCCACGGAAGAAAGGCCTGGCAACCCGCTTCCAGAGAAGTCAGCCGCTGAGAGCTGCACGGAGAGCCCCAGCCTGTTCCCAGCCACATGGAGTCACCGGAAGTGAGCGTTGATGCCACGGGTGGTTTCCGGACTCAGGTTGACTTCATCGTGATTGTTCTCAGCTCACTTGATGACGGACTTTTTCTCCCTGGGTCTGGCTTTCTTGTTATTCTTTTGGGTTTTGTTTCCATATCTTGGCCTCAACCAACAAACATGGATTTTTTTTCGTTTTGGACCAATCATTCTGTTGGTTAAGAAAGCAGGAGCAAGCCAGCGAATGGAGCAGACCCTCTCTAGACCACAGGAAGCAGGAGAAAGGGGGGGGGGGGCTGGAGAGGCACACGTGGTCAGTCCCTACTGACCCTTCCTCTCCTCCTACTGGTCAAAGCCAAGCAGCCAGGATCCTCCCCGCCCAGAGCTCCCACTGTCTTCTCTCCCCCGTGGCTGCCCACTTGAACCAGCCGGCCACTGGCAGGCTGCTCTTGCACACCACCCATTCAAGTGGGAACCAAGGCAGCGCCTGGCCTGGGCCCTTGCCATGAAAGCAGTTCTTCCCTGTGGTGGTCCAGTGGTTGACTTCCTGTGGAGCAGACCCAGGTTCACACAATCACCACTGTTGGTCAGTGGGCGGGGTGGGGGTGGGGGGCTGTTGGCAAGTTGCTATGATGCTGAATGGGTTTCAGCAGAGATTCCAAACAAACTAGGAAGAAAGACCTGGAGATCCACTTGTGCAAACCTGTGGATCACAAGGGGCGTGATCTACAACCCCCCCTGGGGACAACGCAAGTCTGGCAGTGATCTGCTTCATGATAAACGGGGTCACCGTGAGCAAGCCAGCAGCCAGCACAGCACGGTTACAACAGCACAACAACACAGCCAGGGAGAAGCTCTCGCCCTGTGGAGGCAGGTTGCCCGCTGACAGAAGACCTGCTTCAAGTAGCAGAGACTCGGAAGCACCCTAAATGCCCACCAGCAGGAAGCTGGGACTTATTGTCGGAAACGGTATTTGGGGACAGTTGAAAAACATGAGGTGTCTCTCTCCACAAGCCTAGCTGGATCCCCCAAGACATATTCCCAAGGGAAGTCAGTCAGGAGTGAGAGGGGCCGTGTTCCACTCTGCAAACACCTACCACGTACGTGAAGCAGTTCTGGATGCTCTCCAACTGTCCCCCAACCTCACTGCCATCGAGTCAATGTCGACTCAGAGTGACCCACAGGGCAGGGTGGAACTGCACCCCCTTCCAAGACTGTAACTCTTGACAGGAATAGAAAGTCCCAACTCGCCCGTGAGGAGCAGCTGGTGGTTTTAAACTGCTGACCTTGTGGTTAGTAGCCCAACTCATAACCATTACACCACTAGGGCTCCCTCAGCAGGGTATACACATGTGTTTGAATGCAGACAAACCAACAAAAACAACCACCCCTGGGAGGATACAGGCTGAACTTCCAGTCGGGGCTACCAGTGCGGAGGGTGGGGAGGGCAAGAAGGAGGGGGGACTGTCGGAGGAGGGGTGCCTTTAGCTGGGCTTTCACTTTAAACCAGGAGACAATGTGCACACATCACTGTTGGCATAGAGCACGCCCCCTCACTCCTCCTGGGGAGGGCGTCCTGCAGGCCTAGCCCTGACCCCCAGGGGAGACCCTTATAGGAGGGAGGAAGTCAGGCCGTCCACTGGACTATGCCCTGGCGCCTGCCTGCGCCTCTTATCGATTGGCCCCACCTTGTGATATTGATCTTTTTTTATTACCTTCCCCAGGAAATCACCGCCATTAAGGAGGCCTACCAAAGGTGTAAGTGATCTTTTGTTAGAGAACATTCATTTCCCAAGGTGATGGGTGTGGGGGGCAGGGGAGGGAAGGGGGGCTAAGGGGAAATCTTACTACTGAGGGCACTCTGAGTGATAGCAGAGCTGGAAACCAGTAAGGGTGTCGGTCACTCAGCACAATAAACAGAAGGCTGAGGTGTGCCGGGAAGAGCCTTAGTAAGCCGGCGAACGATTTGTTACAGGTATATCTATCCCCCCCATGCCCCCACCCCCCACCCCCCATGAAGGCAAAAGAGAAGAAGGAGATTCTTCATGTCATAAGTAACCCAGGATAATAAAATCTTCTCTTCCTCAAAAGTATTTGACAGGAGCCTGGAGTCTGATGTCAAAGACGACACCAGCGGAAACCTAAGGAAAATCCTGGTGGCTCTGCTACAGGTAAGAGCCTGTGGTTGTCCTGAGTGGTGAGGAAACCCCGCAAGGCATTTGGACTCACCCCTCTTTGATGGCCCTTTTATTGGGGGAGCGCCCGCCCAACTATTGTGATAGTATTCTTTGGGGATCCCACCTGTAATAACAACCTGCTGAGTCATTTGCCATTGGCAATCCATTGTTTCTAACGAAATACCTCATAAAGCGCCACCACCCTGTTTGTCAATGAGGAAACTCGGGCCCCAGAAGGTTCACACTGCCCAGAAACAAGCGCTGGGCCTCCGACCTCAAGTGGAGCTTATTCACCACACAACGCTGCCCTCTGCCCTGACTTCCCGGTTCCTGTGGGAACAGGGTGGCCGGGATGGGTCTGGCCAGGACCCCCGCCCGGGGCTTCCAGATGGACAACATCAGTGTCGTTTTACAGCCACCACCATTAAGGGCCCCACACTTACAGAGCACTGCACAAAAGAGAAGAGGCGTCCACAGAGATGGGTAGGGAGGGGGCGTGCCCATCATCTGCTGCCTAAATCACAGCGCCCACAGCCAGGGTCCCGAAGCACCACAGACTTAGAGCCCCACGGCTCCCAGGGGTCCGGGTTAGCTGGGTTTTCTGCTGGAACTCACCAGAATGAAACCAAGGTGTTGGCCAGGGTTGACCCTCTTCCCTAAGGCTTAGGGACTCCTTCCAAGCTCACTGGTTGTTGACATATTCATTTCCTTGTGGAGCCATGGTGGTGTAGTGGTGATGAGTGGGGCTGCTAACAACAAGGTCAGCAGTTCGAAATGCTCTGAGGGACAAGATAAGGCTTTCTACTCCCTTAAAGAGTTACAATCTCAAAAATCTGTAGGGGCAATTCTCCCCTGTCCTATAGGGTCACTAAGAGTCTGAACCGACTCAATGGCAATGAGTTTGTATTTGTATGCCTGAAAGGGCACTGAGGTTAGAGTGGGTTACCTGTTGGGCTGCTAACTGCAAGGCCAGCAGTTTGAACCCACCAGCTGCTCCTCTGGAGAAAGATGAGACTTTTTGCTTCGGGAAAGATTAACAGCCTCAGAAACCCACAGGATGAACTCTACTGCGACCTATGGGGTCGCTATGAGTCAGAATCCTTTTGATGGCAGTGAGGGTTTATTTTGTGCTTTTTTTGGTTTTGTTTTTAGATTCTATGACAGAGGTCCCTGCTTTCTTGCCAGCTATCAGCCAGAGGCCACTGCCAGCTCCTAGAAGCCATCGGTAGTTCCCTGCCACCTGGCCCCCGAGGGCAGTTCACCCCAAATATTTTTTATTTCATTCAGCCCAACAAGAAGCTCATCCCTCTGAGTTCTTTCATGCAGCTTTGTTAGGTCACATGATGAGGTCAGGCCGCCAAGAATAATCTGCCCCCTTTGGTTAATTCACCTGATTAGGGGGCCTTATGTACATCTTTGGAAATCCCCTTTGCCAGATAGTATAACATGCGTAATTGAAGCCGTGATAATCCCAGCACTGCTGCAGGTCTCTCCCACACTCAAGGGGAAGAGATTATACAGCTGCGTGGGTCACTGGGGAGTCATCCTAGGGCTCTGCCTACCACCCAGGGCTGAGGTGAGGCACCAGGCAAAGCTCTCACGGCTGGCTCTCGGCATGGGGCGCCTCGGTGAAGGAACCGGCATTTTAGGAGGGAGAGTCTTTGCTTTCCCATGAACTCATCAGGTGGCTTCCAGCCCACGCCTCAGGGGCTGGGGGTGGGGGTTCTGAGTGGCCCTGTTGTGGTGCTTAAGGCCACTGAGTTGGTTCCGACCCATAGAACCTATGCACAACAGAAGGAAACACCGCCCGGTCCAACTTCATCCTCACAATTGTTCCTTGTCCTGAGCCCATGGATGCAGCCCCCGTGTCAACCCATCTCCTTGAAGGCCTTCCCCTTCTCCACTGCCCCTCCACTTGCCAAGCAGGATGTCCCTCTCCAGGGACTGGTCTCTCCTGACAATACGCCCAAAGTATATAAGACAAAGTCTTGCTACTCTTCCTAGACTCTTTTTCCCCCCAAAGAGAAGCAAGCGCTGGGGCAGAAGCCCCCACTGTTTATCAATTGTGTCCAAAAGGTGGCAGCAAAGAGCAGGCATTGGCCTCGTGGGACCCAGTGGCGCTTCAGGCCACACCCCTGAAATCCCGCCACAACTTTCGTGTTTTCTGTGGTCAGGCAGCAACTCCAGTTCATGACAATGTGTCAATTTTTTTTTTTTTAGGCTAACCGTGATGAGGGAGATGACATCGACAAAGATCTAGCTGGCCAGGATGCCAAAGACCTGTATGATGTAAGTGTGTGGCTCAGCCAGCCTCAGCTCAGCTCTCTTATCAGCACTGTTTCCAATGGGTTTCTTGTTTGGCTCGTGTGCACATGAGAATTCCTCGGGAGGTAAGGGCGCCCATTCAGAAACGAAGACACATCTCGCTCTTTCAAAATGCTCTCCGTAGTTCACCGAAAAGAATTGCTCTGATTCTTCTGCTCTGGGGTTTAGTCCCTGAGATCAGTTGGGGAACATGGGAAGATAAACATAATATAAACCGTCTGACGTGTGGGCAGGAAGCTTTAAGGGCCTCACCCAACCATTTAACTGCTACTTCATGTGTAGTTTATGTTTTCTGGAAAGTAAGGCATGACGGGAAATACCACGCTGCCCATTCCATCTTTGCAAAAGATGTCTTTTCTCAATGTTTGCGTATGATCCCCAGGCAGGGGAAGGCCGCTGGGGCACCGACGAGCTTGCCTTCAATGAAGTCCTGGCCAGGAGGAGCTTCAAGCAGCTGCGAGCCACCTTTCAAGCCTACCAGGTTGTAAGTAGCCACGGACTAGAACACCAGGGCCCTCGCAGCTCACTCTGGAACTGCGTCTCAGAGCCTCCCCCAGAGAAGCCAAGATCAGAGACAAGGGATACTGGGGGTGGGAGGGGGGACTCCTTTACGTCTGTGTTTCTGCAATTTCCTGAGGGATAGTTGGTCCCATCTGAGACAGTTTGTATTATCTCCACACAGAGGATGGAGACAGTGGGTGGGGAGAAGGTACTGGCATTAACATTCCACAGTGCCCAGGGACAGTCCCCATGTCAAAGAATGACCTCATCCCAAACGCCAACAGTACTGAGACAGATCCTCAAAGCAAACACTGGGCCCACAGTGGCCCAGAACCCTGCTTTACAGTATCAGCAAAGTACCCAGGTTCCAGGCCTGGCTCCAAGACTGACCAGTGACCCAACCTCCTGTGCCTCAATTTTCCCATTTGTGAAATAGGGGCCAGGATGATCGTTGTGACATAAACACTGGTCATTTTCAGAGTGAAAAGAAACCACAAAAAAACAGAAAACCAAACTCACAACCACCGAGTCGATTCCAACTCACAGGGACCCCGTAGGACAGGGCAGAGCTGCCCCTGTGGGTTTCTGAGACTGTCACACTTTACGGGAGTAGAAAGCTCTGTCTTTCTGTCAAGGAGTAGTTGCTAGTTTCGAACTGCTGACCTCATGGTTAGCAGCCCAACTTGCAACCGCTAGGCCACCAAGGCTTTTCTTGAGTGAAAATAAGATACCTAGAAAAGGCTCCAAACCATAGCTGGCATGGGGAACATGTTGCCGCTACCGGGGAGGTCGACCTAGGAGCCATACCCTCCCGGAAGGATGTGTATGCTGTGAACAGAAGGGTGTTTTTAAACTCACTGCATTCCGGTGGTACTGTAAGTAAATGTGGACGCTCACCACAAGGTCAGCAGTTCAAACCTGCCAGCTGCCCTGCAAGAGAAAGATGAGGCTTTCTGCTCTGGTAAAGAGTTACAGCCTGAGAAATCCTGTATAAGGTGGCTACGAGTTGGAATGGAGTCCTGGCAGTGAGTGAGGGAGTGAGTGAGTGAGTGAGTGGAGTGAGTGAGTGGAGTGA